ACTGACAGCAACACTCACTCTCTCTCACTGACAGGAACACTCACTCTCTCTTACTGACAGCAGCACTCACTCTCTCTAACTGACAGCAACACTCACTCTCTCTCACTGACAGGAACACTCACTCTCTCTTACTGACAGCAGCACTCACTCTCTCTTACTGACAGCAACACTCACTCTCTCTCACTGATAGGAACAATCTCTCTCTCTTACTGACAGCAGCACTCACTCACTCTAACTCTTTCGCTCTCTCACTCTTTCTCATGATAACCGTCCACGCCAATCGCACTCGCCACTTGCACCGTCAGGATATCCCTGGGTAAGCTCTCACGGCTCGAGCTCTCGTCCCAATTCCCTCGGATTACATCGCAGTTTCCAGCTAGTAGGTCTGTGAGAAATGAGTTGATGGTGAGATTGCCTCGCGCTCAGCTTGCCAAGCACGCACTGCTCTTCTTACCGTCTTCTCCGCAGACGAACTCGAGAGGGCTAGTTCGGCCCGCTCCCTCGCGTTGTTCCTCTTCCTGCTTGTTTGACCGCTGAACTCAGACACGGAATGGGCTGAGTACGTCTTGCCCGCTCTCCTCTCCTCGAACCGCCTCACCCCCAACTCCTTCCGGCTCACTGCAGCTCGAGTCTGAGGCGCGCCGGGTACACCTGGCATGCCCCCCCCTTCAATGTCGGGTCTTCCTCCTATATCTTCTGGCGTGTCGAGTCCACCGTGCCTTCGGATTCTCGGCCCCGCCTGTATCTCCCTACGCCTTTGCTGCCACAGGCCACATGCTCGGGTTCACGAGCACAGGGGGACGGGTTGATAAATTCAGTTCACATTATCGTCGAAATGCCCATGCTTCTGGGGTTTCACTAGGAACCCCGCAGGCATAACATTAGTTCCGCGGATGGCCTGCGCATTCGACCCCAGCAGGGGGACCAAGGCTACCCAAGACTCACAGCCCAATCGGTGTCCCCGCAAACAATCGCATGAGTTATCTATATCACGTCAGACCGTCGCAGTACCAATGGCAAGAAAGTCCGCCCTGTTCTCTGGCCAACTTTGCCACTCCATACCAGCCCCGAACCAGTTCGGACTGCACCGAGCCTAGAATTGCCATGGCTTGCCCCGTGTCGTAACCGTTCTCAAACCGAACCCGAAATAAATTGTCCCAGCGGTTCCCGGCTTGGATTGATACACCGTAGAGGCCTCGGACCAGAAAATTGATCGCCGCACCGGTTCTGAATCTGAAAAATATACCGCTGCAGTGAACGGGGATCTGAAAATAAATCACAGCAGAGGTTCCGAACCTGAAATAAATCTCCGTGCGGGCGTTGAACCGAAACAACGCGATGCCACCGATCCTGATCAAACCCGAAATCCAATACCGGGCTGCCGTGCCACGCGGACGCCGAACTCGTACAACCATGCCATGATTATTCCGTATCTGTCCCGAACCTGATATAGGACGCCGCAACGTCTCCGAACTTGAAAACAAACTGCCGCCAAGGACCCAAACTTGGAATAAATCATCGCAGCTGTCCCTAAACCTGAAAATAAGTCCCCCTAGTGAAACAGGTGTCACCCGGCCCATACCGTACTTGAAGCACGTCAGACACCGTAGGATGTAGCCACTCCGTAACAAGCCTCATATTCGTACCGAACCAAACACCATGGTCGACTCAAGGTAGTACCTGTCCATGCGTCTCTCGCTCTCAGAACGTCCGAACAACAGTAGTGTTTAGTAATCAAGCAAAGCAGCGAAAGCGACGCAGGGATCCTCGGCCATCGGCAGTATTGAACACTGTTAAAATCCGTGGAAAATGTTCAATCCGGGGTCAGAGCTAACGGCGGGTAATCGAGGCGAAATTAGGCCAATCTCCTAATAATCATGGGTTCCCGTCCCTCTTATCATTTTTCATCATTCTCCCCTTCTGGTCGTAATCCCTTTTTCCCATCTTKAATTATGGTACTAAAATKAGCAAAAATTTGAGGCTTCATCTCAACCCCGGTCGCGCCTAGTGCGGCCACTCATCTCGTCGTCTTTTAGGGTTGCTCGCAAAGTTCAGCGCGCCCAAAACCAGGGGTGCCTTGAGCTCCCCTAATTTTTGCTGCCCGGTCAACCCGGAGCACCGACAAAACGCGGACTTGTCCTTGAGCTGGAGTCCCAAAGCCGCAGATTTCAGGCGGCGCACTGCTTGTGGCCGCCTGACAACGCTATGAATAGGATATTCCATGACTACTTGGATAAGTTTGTCGTCGTGTACCTCGATGACATACTTATTTTTAGTAAGACTGTCGAGGAACACGTAGCACACTTAGACAAAGTTCTCAGTCTCCTGCGACAGCACAAGTTCAAGATCAACGGTGAAAAGTGCGAGTTTGGCCGCACCCGTATCTTGTACTTGGGTCATGAGATCTCCGCGGAAGGGTTGAAGCCCGATGACGCGAAGGTGGCCAGCATTCGTGATTGGCCACGTCCTCAGTCCGTGAGTGAGATGAGATCTTTCGTAGGAATGACAGGCTACTATAGGACTTTCGTTAAGAATTACAGCATAGTGGCCGCTCCTTTGACTGATCTGACCCGCCTTGACACCCCTTGGGAGTGGACAGATGAGTGCGAGGCTGCTTTCAGACATCTGAAGCATGCATTGACGCACTATGAAGTCTTGAAGCTACCCGATCCTGATAAGCCATTTATAGTAACCACGAATGCTAGCCAATATGGCATTGGCGTCGTGCTTGCGCAGCAGGAGGGGCCAAAGTTGAGGCCAGTAGAGTACATGTCCAAGAAAATGCCGTCTCAGAAGTTGGCTAAGTCCACTTATGAGAAGGANCTTGCGCAGCAGGAGGGGCCAAAGTTGAGGCCAGTAGAGTACATGTCCAAGAAAATGCCGTCTCAGAAGTTGGCTAAGTCCACTTATGAGAAGGAGCTCTATGCGGTGTACAAGGCTCTCACCCATTGGAGACACTACCTCCCTGGGCGGTTCTTCATCCTCCGGACTGATCATCAGACCCTGAGATGGATGAGAACACAGCCAGTACTCTCTGACGCTCTCAAGCGTTGGATCGAAGTCATTGAGCAATATGACTTTGACCCTCAATATCTTAAAGGAGAGTACAACAAGGTTGCTGATGCCTTGTCGCGCAGACCGGACTTCTCAGGTGCGCTGATTACTGAGTTCGATCTGACGGACAATGCTACTCAGTCTTTGGTGGAAGCCTATCATCAGGACCAGTTTATGTCTGAGATCATCCGCAGACTTGAGGCGAAGGATAAAAAGACCTCCGCCGAGTTTGAGTTGGTCAATGGATTGCTGTTCCTAGAGAAGGCAGGGAATAAACGCTTGTGCGTTCCAAGTAGCGAGTCTTTGCGTAGTTTGTTTTTAGGTGAGTGTCATGATGCCACCGGCCATTTTGGGTACAAGAAGACCGCAGCCAACTTGCTGCAGCGGTTCTGGTGGCCAACGATGATGAAAGATGCACAGTTGTACGTGGAAACTTGTCAAGTATGCCAGAGAAACAAGCCCCGGACTCAAGCGCCTCTTGGGCTGCTCAAGCCCCTTCCGATTCCGGAAAGGCCAGGTGAAAGTTTATCCATGGACTTCATGGATACGCTGGTCACCAGCAAGAGTGGGATGAGACAGRTCTTTGTCATCGTGGATAGGTTTAGTAAGTTTGCTAGATTAATAGCTATGCCAGAAACAGCAAAGACCGAATACGTGATCAGGCTATTTAAAGAAAACTGGGTTAGAGACTTTGGACTGCCGAAGTCTATAGTCAGTGACAGGGACGTCAGGTTCACGAGTGAATTATGGAAGGCCGCTGCAGCTGAACAAGGAACTCAACTGCAGATGACTTCTGGAAATCATCCAGAAGCTAATGGCCAGGCTKARCAAWTGARYCGYGCTGTGCAACACCTGTTGAGGCACTACATCAAGCCCAATCAGGTAGACTGGGACGAAAAGCTTGCTTTAGTCGCTAGTCTATATAACAACGCTGTGCACAGTGCTACCGGGACGAGTCCTAACAGTCTACAACTGACATTCAAACCTAGACTGCCCTTAGATTTCCTACTTCCAGACAACCAGCCAACTGCTACACCGGGCACTCTAGAGTTCGCCTATAGATATGAACAGAAGATGCAGGAGGCTGTAGAACACATGCAGAAGGCACAGGCARCAATGATAGAGTCTGAGAATAGACACCGCCGCCCTTCTACATTTCAGGTAGGGGACAGAGTCTGGGTCAAATCTTCAKAACTGGGACAGGAGTTCGGGATATCCCGCAAACTCATGCCTCAGCACTTTGGACCTTGGGAAGTTTTAGACGTAGTAGGGACAGATCCTGATGGTCCATCATATGTCATCCGTATCCCTGGTCATCTCAGAACTTACCCAGTCTTTCACGCCTCTAAGCTCGCTGCCTTCAAGGAAACTGACCAGTTTCCCTCTCGTCGATCCATGCTGCCCCCAACCATGGACGGAGAAGTCGACATCGATGATATCGTTGACCACAGGGAGATGCCAGTTCAAAAGCCTCCAGGAAGGGGACGTCCTCCAAAACCAAAGCTGCAATTCCGAGTCCACTTCAGACATCATACAGATCCAAAGGAGGACCGCTGGTTTACTTGGGAGGAACTGATGCAGACCGCTCCTCAAATCGTTGCCCGCTATGAGAAGGATGCACTGAAAGGAAAGCGCCAGATGGCTACAGATTGATCTTCGAAGAGGACTAACGAAGATATGGAGGAGGGAATGCGAGGCTACGCTCGCTTAGCCCCTACGGGGCCCTATCTGCAACAAGGTCAGGTCACGTCAGATCGAACAGAGGAAGAGGACAGGCAGCCATCCGGCTTGTTGAGTCTGCTGTGGTTCGAGGTCAAGACTATCTGGGCTCATATGTATGATGCTGTTTGATTGCCAAAGTTCGCTAATGCTCATCTTCCTTGCATATGTTAGATAACATATATTTTTTTCAGATTGTTCTGAGAACTTTTTTTTTTTTTTTTTTTTTGTTTGCGCTAGGTCGGACATACCCTGTCCGGTAGGACGTCCGACCAGACGTCCGGTCGGACATCCCGGACGGTCAGGGGGGTCCCGGACGTTCGATCCAACAACCTAGCTTTGCTACCCTTTTCGGTGGATTAATCATGGAATAACCTCCCGAACCCCATCCGCACGGGGGGGATGGGAAGTGCTGCCAAAAGTTTTTGAAATTTTCTTTTAACTTTTTGATTTTAGTCAATAAAATTGATGAAAATTAAAATAAATATCGGAAAATAAATAAAATTTATTTTTTCATTTCTATTTATTTTACTTGTCTTTCCTCTTTCGACAGTTCTATTTGAGGGCCTCCGTCTCGAACCCCATCCCAACGGGTGGAGACAAACCGCTGTCGAAATTTTTGTAAATCTCCCAAAATTATTTTTCACCCTTAAAAATCGTAAAATTTGGCGATCCTTTATGTATTTAGACCTTTAGTTAATATAAAATAAGAAAAGTAATTAATCCAAACCGGACTTAATTTTATTTATTTATTTATTTATTTTTTAATTAATGTTTGGAAAATACAAGAAAAGTCTCTAAAAGAGGAAGGAAAAGGGCAGTTGGACTAATCTGTGATTAGTGAGTCTGCTGGTCCATTCCCGAAGATCTGAAACGGGCAACGAGAATTTTCGTGAATTAAAAATTATTTTTTTTTATAATTAATTGACAGAAATTAGTAGTAAATTCAAACGGAGGGGTAAAACGAAGTAGGTACTTACCACCCGACTCCTTAGGGTTTGCGTCTATTCCCCCTATGCACTGAAGGCAAGGTGGTGCTTTCTTTTTACTTGTAAGGAGGTTTTATTAATTAAAACAATGGAAATTTTCTAAAATAAGAAAATGGCCTAAAAATTTGGAAAGTAAGTACGTACGCACTGTATCTTTGGTTTCTGTCTAGGGGAGTAGATCTATTGGTTGGAGACGGTTCCGAGGATGCAGCAGACTGAATTCCCTCGAATTGAGTACACGCCTTATATTCGAGGGAACTCGAGTATAAGGCTTGTAAGCTCATTTTGAGGACAGAATTTCACACCCGCCGTATCTAGGGTACTCTAGAACCTGGTTAGCACTTAGGTACGCACCCTTTTAATAGGGACTTCGTCCCGAACCCCATCCCAACGGGGGGGAGGTGAAGTGCTATCGAATTTTTCCTAGGGGTTTTGAGTTTTTTCTTGACTCATTTACGCGGATGTGGCCACCCTCAGTAGTAGCGGAATATGTTGTTGACCGATGCTGGAAGATTGAGCCCCCCGAACTCGTAGAAGGGGACCTTATGGAGTTCACTTTGCCGATTCGACCCACTGACTGGCATGACAACCGGTACAAGTGGAGGTTGAGGCCTAGGGGAGACTGCATATGGCGAGGTCAAGGCCTACATGTATCTGAGTCCAGAAGGGACCAAAAGGGCCACTCTGACTCTTGTGTCTTGGGGGACCTGCGGGATCATCGGCTGGGCGGAACGATACCTGCAGGAGGAGATAGAGGCCTTCCGGGGTGAGGAAGAACAGGACGTGATAGCGCTGCTCCACGGGTTTCTTCCCCGTGTTATTACCTGAGAGCTTCTGGTTGTTGGAGACAGGTATTTCTCGCACTCGGGCTGTAGGCTTAGGGCGACCGTTCCCTCATTCGTGGTCGACGAGGCGTTCGGTGGGATAGGTGGCTTGGTCGAGGCCTTCCGACTTGAGGAAGAACAAGACGTGATAGTGCTGCTCCACAGGTTTCTTCCCCACAGGTTTCTTCCCCGTGTTATTACCGAAGAGCTTCAGGTTGTTGGAGACAGTTTTTTCCCGCACTCGGGCTGTAGGCTGAGGGCGGCCGTTCCCTCATTCGTGGTCGACGAGGCATTCGGCGGGATAGGTGGCTTGGTCGAGGCGTATCTCACCGCTATTGAGCTCGAGCACATCTCGTGAGGAGATCTCGACACGCATTATATCTACTATTCTCTTGTGACCGCTGGACCCCGGTGGGGAGACGAGAGGGTTCAGCTTATAGAGTTGATCCGGTCTATCGCCCCTACCTCTCAGGGGGCCTGGTGGGATGAGGGTTACGACTGGAGGCAGCCCCCGCCGCCTTATGTGTGGGCTCTACTAGACCGCAAGCTTCGGGCTCTACTAGACCGGACTATACCACGTCGATAGGTCAGCTCTTCACATAGCACCGGGACTCGTGGTGGGGTTCTGGTGATCCTGATCCCCTTATAGTTGTTTATCAGTTGACCCGGTACTACGTGGCTATCGAGGCGCCAGGATATTGCATAGTAGAGGAGGACGACGCGGATGCACGTGCGATCCACTTCCCTAGGCTAGTGGTTCCGTTCCGAGCCTAGAGGAGAGGGCGCGATAGAGTGTAGAGTGTTCGATAGCGAGCTTGCTGATGAGGTTTCGTTCGGGCGGATGTGGTCGCCTGCAGTGGTAGAGGAGTTCCCCATCACTGTGCAATGGTGGCCATATGAACCCCTAGAGTTAGCGGAGGGAGAACTAGTGGAGTTCACACTTCCCTCTCGTCCGATCCACAGGGACGACAACAGTTTTGGATGGCGGTCGATACTTTATAGATCGGGCGTATGGTCGTGGATCTATCGGGAGTTGAATGGAATGAGAGACAATAGGAGTAGGCTTCTTCCACAAGCCGGCTGGGGTGAAGTGAAGGCTTTCTTGTACTTTAGTGTTGAAGCCGCGAAGGAGGCTGCACTATTTCTTGTCATCAGGGGATCGTGCGCAGTCATAAACTGGGCCAAGCGATATCTCCGAGAAGAGACAGAGTCTTTTCAGTGGGACGAGGAGGAGGATGTAAGAAGGTGGCCTAGGAGAGTCCCTATTACAGAAATCTCTGGAGATCTCTGTATCGCTGGACCGGGATTTTTCCCTTGTTCTAACAGGCGGTTGAGGACGACCGTGCGTACGTTCGTAGTAGAGGAGCTGTTCGGGGGAGTAGGAGGAGTGGTTGAGTTTTACTTGATGCTGCAGGAACTTAGTATTTTGACGCTGCAGGAACTTAGTATTTTCTCTCGCAGCGACCCGGATACAGACTACATCTATTCCTCTCTTTTGACAAGAGGGCTGCGTTGGGGAGACGAGAGGCTCCAACTTATAGCTCCTACCCCGAATAGGGATTGGTTGCGAGTGGCATCGCTGGAGAGGAGGCACTCCCCACCATCATACGTATGGGACCTCTTGGACAGAGAGCTTAGAGACGGGCCCGAGTACATTGCTTCATTGGGGCGACTCTTTGCAGATGATTGAGACGCCTGGTGGAGCGACGCTCTTATATCTCCACACCTGGTCACGCGATACTACGAGAGGATAGGAGTGTCGAGGCACGTCCAAGAGTTGGAAGCGAACGATGACGGGGAGTTTTCGGAGTCGGAGAATGAATAGAGGCGGTCGACGGAGAGGGCGAGGCTGCAATGGGATCGATCCACTTTCCGAGGATAGTGGTCGACCTTAGGGCCTAGATATGCGAAATGCAGAGCATGGAGTGGATTGAGAGAGATGAGTGATTCAAATGCGTGGTGGGCGTATCTATTACAACGTGACTCTGATTCCTATAAGGTAAAGAGGTTGGTCAAGCCTAGGGAGACGACTTGAGGTTTTGATATCCCTCTCCCCGTGCGCCTAAACGAGAGTGAGAAGAAGCCTGTTAGATACGCGGGAACGTGGTTAGCAGAAGGTGCTTTCCTGTGGACAATAATCCTAGAGAACAGGGGAGTGGATGGCGTACGATAGGTTGAGGCGATAGGACACTTGGTATTCGACAGGACTCAAGACCTTGAGATAGGACTAACGCTCGCTGGCATTAGCAGGACCTAGTGGAGGTACGAAGTTTTGGCGAAATCCATTGTAAGTCGGCGGTTGAGCAGTTTTGCAGGAGATAGCCAGTCCCTGGTGCGCATCGTATTTGGACCCCCGAAAACCGGACCTCTACCCTGTAGAGGGCTGGAGGTGGGCTTTGTCTACGTTCGTAAAAGGACAGGTGTATGAGGCGTCGACAACCTGAGCAGAGCGGTTAACGATACGTTTTATACTTTCGGGTTGGGATTAGCGCCTCGGTTTAAGGAGCCCTGCGTCACCGTTTGTGCGAGGTGGGGGTGTCTTGATTATGAGACACGAAGAAGACTGATCGACGCGACCTGTTGGGTAAATTGCCTAAGACCTGCCGATCTGATTGAATATTGTCGAAGGCGCGTCGAGGATAAGTACACTGGTCTAGAGGAGTTGAGATATCTGTGCGACGACAGTTAGCAGAGGCATGTCGGGTCGAACGTCCACAGGAGCCAATGTGAGTAGATTGTTAGTAAATGAAGGTTTTAAGGTGACCGGTTTACTTAGAGCGCACATAGAAGAAGACCTTACGGAGCGAGAATGCTTGCGACGGGCTAGAGATTTCATCCACGACCACCGAGCATGTGTTCTCGCGTGCGTGACCTTTCAGACAAAGGTGACGTACGAAGTGATGGTGTGGTCGGTCGATTATTTGCGCGCGAAGTTATTTTTTGATGAGATGGTAGCGGAGGCGAGGAGCAGAGTATGAGTCGGATTGCTTTGACATGACAGAACGTGAGCCTGCGTTATACAGACATAGACACCGAGCTTCTTACTCTCTCCGATGGGATCTCCGAGGTTCCGATTCATGGAGGAGTGTAGATGATAGAAATCCTCGAGTGATCGCAGATGGAGTAGTGACAAGCCGACGAGTTCCTGATGATGAGCGATATGAGCCTCTATTACGACGACTACCGTATACGCGTACTATTTCTAGACGTTTAGCGTGCGATGAGGGGACGATACAAATTCTTTTGAGGGTGAGCATAGATGAGGACTTATCGGTCAGTGAGTGCGGAGAACTTGCAAAGGATGTCACAAGAGCAGAGGCTAGGAGCACTAAGAGAAATAACGACGCAGGGATGGATAGTATATGAAGTAGTTGTCTGCGTTAAGGGGGTTGTACGGTTGGAGATAGTTCAAGACGATACGTCAACGGAAGCTCGGAGTAGGATGTGAGGGACCCTCTGAACTTAGAAAGAGATGGTCGGCCGAGAATGGAAAATGAAGATGAGAGGGTGAAAAGGGTGAAGGAAAGAATTATAGAAGTTGTGTTAAAAAGGGTCGAGGAATTGGTTGAAAGAATCAAAGCGTACGGAGTCTGCGAGAGCGAAGGTAAATTGTGAAGGATAGAAAGGAGTACGAAGGAACTAGAAAGGATCTTTAGGGAAGATAGGGAGCTATTTAGAAGGTGGAGGTTCGATTTTCTAGAGAGTACGAAAACGAGAGACCCCCGACAGTCCGAACAAGGAGAATCCTTTAGGTCGGCGGAACGGGGAGAAGGGAAGGACAGCGAAGACGAGAAGAACAGTAAAGAAGGGAAGAGCAGTGAAGAGAGCAACAGGATGAGGGACGATGAACGCTTGTCAGTACAATGGCGGTAAGTACTCTGTATACGTGGTAGGAAAGATAGACGGTCGGGTGGTCTGTGTGGTAATACAGGTGAATCACCTAGTAAGATTGGGGGTGATAGAAGAGGTAGAGTGCACATGGAGAGCGCCGAGAGAAGCGCGGGGAACTGCACTTTGGGCAAGAATCGAAAACGAACGTCTTATTAGATACATATCAAGTACGATGTTGTTCGAAGGGGGAGTTTCCGTTCGCTCTTGGCATGAATCTCCGAGAGTGATTGAGAGGCTTCTAAAGAAAGAAGCTAGGGAGACAAGCGAGTTAGCAAGAGTTATAGTTGACGGAGCTGTTCTGAGGACACTCTCGGCGCATAACCGGTATTGGAAGGAGTTTATTAAGACCTTGGAGAACATAGAGGACTTCAGAGACAACGACGACTTCGAGGCTTTCTACCTGGTCCTGCGAGCATCCGCGGAGAGGGTGTTAGTAGCGCTTGCCTTAACTGCTCTAGAATGCTAGGTGACCTACTGAAATTGAACAAGAGATGAGCCTACCCGAGGAAGAATTAGCGAGAAGAAGGCGTAAGTTCGGGAGATGGAGTGGACCGCGCAAACACGAGAGCCAGAAAGTTGAGCAGAGTCTGACCAAGATTGGGGAGAAATAAATATTCTCGTATCAAGTGGTTAGGTATCAAGTTGCGGACAGTGGCTGGAAAAGGAACCTGTTTTATGTTATGACAGTGCGCTACATCGATTCGGGCGTACATCACATCAGGATATGTTTGCTGAGAGAAAGAGTGGAATTCTGCACGTACTCGAGGTGTTGGAGAATAGCAGCCTGGAAGTTGAGGGAGGAGAAGAAATTAGAAACGTTAGGAGAGCATGTCGAGACAACAGATGACATTTCGATTTTTGATGTATTGCCCAAACCGCCGGTTCCAGGTGGAGAGCTGGAGCGCAATGGATGACAGGCGTTTGTAGATTTCGCTAAAACAGTCAGAGTTGGTGATCATCATAAGAAGCTGATTGGGAACCAGATGGGAAATGAGTGATGAGAAAACGATTTCAGATGGAGAGTTAGCAGCTAGGAGGGGAAGATTCCTTGCGGGGAATAGGCCGACAAAAGCAAAGTTAAAAAGTTGTCTGCACATCCTTGAGTTTTGTAGGGAGACTGAGAGTTATTTTGAGGGCTGACGAAGACTACGTTCGGATGCTTGGAGATTGAGAGAGGCGAGACCAAAAATAGGTCCGGGCTGTCGGATCAGACATCAGGTCCGGGCTGCCTGTTTGAGTATTAGAGGCGGCGAACACCTTGCATGGACGCCAACTCGGGGAGAAGATAGAGTATATGGAGTTGGATACGATGGGTCCGCATCTGAGTATGGATCAGCATACTAGTGTATATCGAGTATCACCGGACCGTGCTCTGCGGGACCTTAGGGAGCGTATACGGCAGAATGCTCCACTGAGATGTGTAGAGCAACCCGATGATGGGGAGCTCAAAGTAATGGGTTGCCCAATTGTCGCTGAACCATATAGGACGACATCGATAGTACGAATGGAGGATAGGACAAAGCCTCCTAGTTTTCGACGAGAGATGGGCGCTCCACACTCGCCTACATACGAGCGGAGAGACGTTGGAGGAAATAGGCGCGAAGACGACTGGAGAGACCAGTACGTCCGGGAGCAGGCTTGGAGGGACAGAGATAGGCCTCCGGAGAGGAGCACACCACCCCGACGGATCTACGACCCACAAACGGGTGAGTCGTATATGCTTTCGTAGGAGAGGATAGATGGATACATCATCTCGCACCAACCCTCGAAGTTAGACACCAGGTCGCCGATTTTCAGGGATACGGTATTACTGAGTATCTCGAGAAGTGGGAGCTTCACGCGTACCGCAGTCAATGATCGGAGGACGAAATCATAGACAATTTCCTGTTTAACTTGGACCTGAGTCTAAGTCAGGTAATCAAAGAAGCACAACCAAAAGACAGGAGGTAGACTACATACAAAGCCAGCCTCTACGAACTCTTCAAGTTGGAAGACGTTAGATACGCAATCCGGGATCTGGAGATGATGACCCATGGTGAGGACGAGAGTGTCCAAGCGTTTGGGAAACGATTCCCGAAGATATCTGATGCCCTAATTGCAAAAGGGAAGTTGTCGGAGGTCGAGCGTTGTACGATTTTCATCGGTCGGCTACCCAGGGGAAAGCAGAAGGGAGTGTTGAGAGAGATGCCTCATGACAAGTTAGATTTCGCGGCGGTTCTTAAGTTGGCGATGAACGCCGAAGCAGACGATTACGAGGACCTAGTTTGGAGAGGGATGCAACGCCGGGACTTCTCTCTCTATCGTGAGTACGATACGGAGAGGTGTCCTGATTTTAACGACCACCTTGGGCAGCACGGCGGTATTTGTTGGACGAAGTCCGACCACAACGACCCAGAGACAGAGACGCGGTGATAGATGAGATGAGGGAGATGAGGGAAATGATGAAGGGATTAGCGAGGCAAATGACCAATATCGAGACGAAGAAGGGAACCACGACCTACAAGGACAAGCCAGGGTTCCCATATTCATTGCGATGGGATCGCAGAAACACAAACCCTTGGCGGAGTATGGAAGATAGAAACCCCCGCACACTCACGGATTATCGTGCGAGAGAAAGACATGACGACGCCTGGCGACATAGGGATGAGGAGATTGATAAGGATCGTTGAGGAGACAGGTACCGCGGGGTTGACGCCTTTAGTAGAGGGGGAAGGATGGAGCAGTATCCCCGCAGCCCCAGATATGATTGGAACGCGGAAGGATACCGAAGTCCGGGCAATTTCGATCGGAGAGATTAGGATGAATCTCGTAGTCGGTATGAGCGAGGAGAATACCCTAGTTCACCTGGCTACCCAAAGTCGTCGGGGTATCCTAAATCACGTGGCCCTTCAAATGAGGACGCGAGGACTACGAGGGGGCCAACTGCTAGGGGTGTAGAGAACATACCTCCCACTCCTAGGAAGTCTTATATCTATTGTAGGTTGGATGATCATGTGAAGAGAGATTGCCCTGATCTCAGGCGAGTTATAGATGAGAGACTTATCGTACTTTATGACCGCAAGTACGTCAGGTGGGCAGACGACCTGGGCGACGTGTCGATGTTCCCTTCAATGAAGGAGAACGTTGAGGTCAGGCGTGTACGCCCAAGCAAGGGTAAAGAAGCGGCAAAGAGTCAGTGTGCGGATGACGTTGTCCTCGGATGACGAGATGCCTACTACACCTATACGGGTTGCGGCAACCAAGTCCGCAAAAGGGTCTTCTTCCAAGAAGACTGATACCAACTATGTGATGGCTGAGAAGGATGGTCAGAGGATCGAAGGAGAGGAGGTTATTCTTTCCTCGTGAAAGCTCAGGGCAAAGAAGTTCACGATGAAGAGTTCCCTAGATGATATCGACACAGTGGAGCCTCTTAGGCGAGCGCTGAGGCAACCCATGTAGTGCTCTATACTCAAGTACTTGGCCGCATCTAGGCCTGCTCGAGATGAACTCCAGATGATCACGCGGAAGAGCTGAATTCCTCTAGCAGATGACGTACAAATGGCTCCAAAATCAGAAGTCCCTACGGTGGTAGTGTCAGGCGTGAGCACGAAAGCTGAGCACGCAGCGACGGTATACCTGGATGGAATGGAGGGCGTGCCTCTTGACAAGTTTCATATTTTAGGAGGCGAGACAATTGAGACTATTCTCAACGACGAGATAGTTCTCCAAGGGGTGATTGATAATGGCAGTGAAGTTGCCATCATAGACGAGGAACTCACCGTACGACTGGGACTAAATCTGGATAGGTCTTTCCTATTTGAGACAGAAATGGATGGCGAAAGGAAGCAGAAGATCTTTGGAGTATGTCACAAGGCAACTATCGAGGTTGAAGGGTTGTGCACGCTGATGCCTGTCTTCATGGTCAAGGACTGCAGCTCCGAGCTACTACTCAGACGGACGTGGCAAAGCTATGTTCATGCAGTTACAATAGAACGACCAGATGGGAGCCAGATGCTCTCTATCAAGCGTCCTGACGGTGGGAGGATTATGATAGAGATTGTTGAGCCTCCAGATCTGAGGAACAGAGCCGCTCTAGCGGCTGGGGCACGCAAGTCGCCTTCTTTCACTAGCCGCACGCCGAGGTTTCGTGAGAAAAAATACGGACCCCTACTTACAGAGGAAAAAAAAGGCACAATTGAAGTCTGAGACTTGGTGAATCGTGTGATTGTGGATGGAAAATCTTATTCAAAGAGCGAGGATGAAGAATTTGGCGGGCTGATTTCTGTGTCTGTTTTAAGGGCACAGCCCCCTACTGGGGGCGACTAAAGAGACACAAGCGAGTAGCGAAGAAAGTTAAGCCGGAGGCAGTCGCTCGCGAGCGGTCAACATTAGGAAGGATATCTGAGGAAGAGATCGCAAGAGAGATAAAGGAAAGGAAAAAGAAAGAGCCACAACGCCTAACAGAGAAGAGGATAACAGAAATGGACATCGGGGACGGGAATTTGACCGAGAAGGAGAGAGAGCGTATGCTGGAAGTACTGAAGACCTGCAATAAAGCAAAAACGTTTAGTGATGCGGAAAGAGGCAAGATCAATCTTAGGTAGACACAAGCGAGTAGCGAAGAAAGTTAAGCTGGAGGCAGTCACTCGCGAGCGGTCGACATTAGGAAGGATATCTGAGGAAGAGATCGCAAGAGAGATAAAGGAAAGGAAAAAGAAAGAGCCACAACACCTAACAAAGGAGAGGATAACATAAATGGACATCGGGGACGGGAATTTGACCGAGAAGGAGAGAGAGCGTGTGCTGGAAGTACTGAAGACCTGCAATAAAGCAATAACGTTTAGTGATGCGGAAAGAGGCAAGATCAATCCTAGGTATGCCAAACCCGCTAGAATCTATACAATTTCGCATACATCATGGAACGGCTCAGGATGGAAGTACGCGCAAAAGGAGAAAGAGGAGGTGATCACGTTTTTAAAGGAGAAGATGGCTTTTCATGTAGCTGAGCCATCAGATAGCGCTTATGCAAATAGATGGTTCTTTCTGCGGAAACCGAACAGGAAGATCCGATGGATACAGGATCTCCGAAAGGTGAATGGTGTCACCATCCGCGATATCGGATCTATTCCCCACGCGGATGTGTTAGCAGAAGGAGTTGCAGGTAGATCGATTTATTCTGTCTGTGATCTATTTTCTGGTTATGACGAGATACCGCTAGATCCGAGAGACAGACACCTCACCGCCATGCATATGCCACTGGGATTAGTCCAGATGATGGTGATACCTATGGGTTGGACTAACTGGGTCGTGGTATTCCAAAGAGTTATGGTAGCGGTTCTGAAAGACTTTATTCCAGACAAGGTGGGAGTCTTTCTAGATGATTTCTCGATAAAAGGGTCGGTCAAGAAAAATGAGATGGAGGTTGCTCCTGGCGTCAGGAGGTTTGTAGAGCAACACTTCACAGACATTTATGCGGTCCTAGAGTAGCTAGACGATGCGAATTTGACAGTCAGTGGGACAAAGAGCCGGTGGACAGTATCCTCGATTAAGATTCTAGGATTTATTTGCGATGCGCGAGGGAGTCAGACATATCCTGCGAAGCTGGATAAGCTCTTGAACTGGGCGTCGCCGCTGCATAGCGCGACCGAGGTTCGTCAATTTTTGGGAGTTGTGGGGTACTGGCGAATCTTTATACAAGGATATGCGGAAAAGGCGGAACCACTGAGACTTCTTCTTCGTAGAACCGAACGGTTTTACTGGAGTTCCTCACAGGAAGCCGCCATGCTTGCGCTTAAGGACGAATTCAAGGAAGGAGGACGAATCCTAGGAGTGTCGTTCTTCGAAGATGAGACGAACAAACCCTTTGTAGTATCCACGGATGTTGGACCGTGTTCGGCTGGGGGCCTGCTTCTCCAGAAGGATGCTAGAGGGAAAAAAAGACCGTTGAGATTCGAGAGCCGAACTCTCAATACCACGGAGCGCAATTACAGTCGATTTAAGAAGGAAGTGCTAGCCGTTCTCTGGTGCTTAGACGCCTTTAGACACTACATATACGGGAGGCGGTTTATTTTACGAGTAGATCTCACAGTTGTCGCTTCGGTTTTACAAAAAGATTTTAGTTTGACAGACCCCACTATGGCGCGATGGTTGATTATGATACGACTCTATGATTATACAGTCGAGAGGATTTCGGGCACTAAGAACACAGTCGACAACAGGCTTTCGCAAATTCCGATTGACATTGAGTGACCAATAGTCGTAGCAACACTAACCATGACGAGTGGATCGGTTTCTGGTTAACCTCTACGAAGGAAAGTATTGGACGATTGGGCTACACTTGTCAGGTGAGGAGAGCTTAGATCCAGAGATCAGGAGGTAAGCGGCTCTGTTCTGTCTTATGTCGGTACATCTTTTTCGCAGGCCTACGGGATCAGGAATGCCTTTACGTGTAGTTTGTGATCCTAAGGAGAAAAGGTCTATAGTGGTTGAGCTCCATGACGACGTAGTTGGTGGACATAGAGGGGTGAAGGGCACGTATGAGAAGGTGTCCAGGTTATACTCGTGGGAAGGTCAGTATAAGGACGTTGAGAACTACTGCATGACCTGTGAGGAGTGTTAGAAGAGAGCTCTCATGAGATATAAGGAGCCTCTTCATCCTTCTTATCCCACTAGACCGGGCGAGAAAGTACATATTGATGTAGTGAAGATGCCAAAGGGGGTGGGCAACCTGAACTACGTGGTGAACATTAGGGACGATTTCACAGACTTTGTGGACGGTAAGCCCATCGGGACAAAGTCTGCTAAAGAAGTCAAGAACTTTGTCCTATAATGTCTGTCTAGATATGGTTGCGTGAGTAGGATTGTGATGGATAGAGGAGCAGAGTTCCTAGCCGATGAAGTTCAGAGTGTATTCAAGAAGGCAGGGGCTAGAGTCTCTATAGCCATTGCTTATCATCCTCAATCCAGCTCACCTGTAGAGCGAGGTCACCAATCCTTGATTAACATCGTTGTCCAAGTGGTGCAGAGGAGGAGACAGCGGTTGGCCCCGATACTTTCGATACGCAATATGGGCAGATAATGTTACGGTCAGAGCTAGTACAGGTTACCCACCTTACACCTTATGGTTTGGGAGACATTGTCCTCTGCCTATAGAGTTCCATGTAGACAGTTGGACTACTGTCGACTGGGCGGACAGTATGTCGCGAGAGGAGCTTTTGGCTGCTCGGCCGAGACAGATAACCTATGGACTAGAGGACAATTTTATGACGGCAGCTGATCGACTGGCTGTAGAGAGAGAAAAAAGGAAAGAGAGATGGGATAAGAATGTGAGAATCAGGAAAGAGAGGGTAAGGGTAGGAGATATGGTACTTCTCTATGATTCAGCTTTAGAGAGGATATGGTCAGGGAAGTTGGCGAATAGATGGATGGGGCCCTACCACGTAGTCGAAGCACTCGATTGGGGAGCATATATGATAGCTGAACTAGAGGGGTCAAAGTGGAGAGATCCTGTGGCGGGAGCTAGACTAAAGTTGTTCAGGCCAAGGGAAACCCCTACCCCTACACCAACACTGTCAGATCCTAAGTGGAAGGGAAAAGCCAAGATGACAGATAAGGGACCATCGGGGCAGTTTGAGGTAGGTGAGAGTTCGAAGAAGAGGAAGAGAGTAGAGACCAGGAAAGTCAAAGGATTAACTCTAGGGAAGAAAAAAAAGTGGCTTTTCGTATTGAGAAGGTCGAGGCAGAGAGTCCGAATCAGACGGGGCAGTGCGCTGAAATCACTTCCATCACAGTGCAGGAAGAGGCGAAAGGACACTTCTCTGCTTATACCTAAGCGACTGAGGCATAGGAGGGACAAGAAGCATCTTCTCAGTCCCAGGGTTTCCAGGAAACCAAAACACGACACTCAAGCGTTGAGACGGAAGACGCATACAAGCGGTTACTTTGGAACTTGTACGTTTCTTTTGACCAACACGGCAGGATCTCGACGGGGACGTCGAGAAGAGGTCCGGGCGTACTGTCGGGCGCCCACAGCCAATGGGCCACCTGAAAGCCGAGGAGTTCGGTGTTTGACCTTGCGCTTGTGCCGGGTTCCTTGAGTATTTTTGTCGGAACCGTAAGGGAAAATTAGGGGTCCTCAGAGGAACTCCATAATCCCCTGCATCGGCCACAAGAACTAACCCTTGAAATTAATAAAATGAACAGTGGCGTCGGCCTCGCCTGACACTTAACTTTTTGTTCGTTCCAAGGCTGTACCCGGAGCGGCCGGCTGAGGAGCGGGGGTATGGTATTAGGCCTTGGCGCGCTTCTTTTACACTGACCAATTGGCGAGGAAATGAAACCTTAATTTTCATTAATTTTAATGGCAAAATTAAAAATGAGTAAAAGAATTAAAAATAATAAAAGGGTAAAAAAAACAAATGAGTATTTGACATTTAGATAAAATTTATCAAAATTTATTGTTACATACTTCAATGAGTATGGGCAGAACCAAAGATCAACCAATATAGGATGAGCATTTATGCAGCGGAAGTCTGATAACGAACTGACTCACATAGACTGACTCACATAGACTGACCTACATGGCATCACTCCACACACATACGATCATGAGATGGTGGGGTCTGGGTCATGCATAGACGATACCCAGATCCCGTACACACATACACAGATGAAAGGGGGGAGGAGAGACGAAGGAGGTAGGAGGTAGATCACACCGATAGGTCAC